CTAAAGTTTCGTCGGAACGAATTTACCGAAAATTAACGAACGAACGGAGACGTAACAGTAAATATACCTGATGACACTTAGTTGAATGAACGGCAACTGCCTGTTGTAGAAACACAAGTGTAGAGGAAGACATTTCAAAAGTCTTCAGGCGGAAAACTTTCGAAATGTCTTCCTCTACACTTGTGTTTCTACAACAAGCAGTTACCGTCCATTCAACTAAGTTTCATAGTGAATACTCTGCCTAAACGATCTATCAAAGAATATTGTTACGACAGCGGAAGTCACGCGACTCTGGAGTTTGTAGAAGGATCATGAATTTTCCTGGCAACTCTAATTTGTTCGAGACGCCCTCTTTTTTCTAGTGTATAAGCCTGGCGAAGAAATCCAGCGAGAGGTGCAGAAAGAATTGCATAGATACATATAGAGATAGATAATTGAGTCAAGCGAATGGTAGGGACCGTAAGTAAAGTGTGTGAATAATGTGTGTTTATAAAAGTAGTTAAGTTAAAGTGAATGTGAAAATTAAGTGTATTACAAAGTTAGTAACGAGAAAAAATAAACTAGTTTTAATTAACAAAGTACTTGTATCGCTGAAGTTTCTCGGAAAGAATTTCTACGGGGAATTAACAAACAAGCAGATATGTAACAAATTGGTGTCAGAAGTGGGATGAAAAAAAGAAAGAAAGAGAAGATGGAAACGAGAGGTGACAAATCAAACTACAGCTTAGCAGATTTGATGGCAGCAAAAGAAACAAGAACAACAATAGAATAAATAAGAAAAACGAGAAAAGAAACAAAAGAGATATCACATCAGTTGTTGGATGAAAAAAGAAAAGAAACAAGAAGAACGAGAAAAGAAATAATATGAATGAGAAAAGAAACAAGAAGAGAGACTACAGCAGTGGTTGGAGGAGAAAGAAAATGAGCAAGAAGAGAGACTACAACAGAGATTGGAGGAAAAAGAAAATGAACAAGAAGAAAGTCTCCAACAGTTGAGAGAAAGCCAGCATACACAAATGGAAAAGATGAGTAAATTTAAAAGTGAATTAAATACATTAAAGGACGATTTATTGTCTTTTACACAGGAAGGATATATTAGACATGGGCCTAGTCAGCCCCAGACAACAGGAAGCCTCTTCCAGACCCCACATATAAACCCAAATGCAGACATCTTCATTCCTGCCAGAAGTCACACTCTAGACATGTGTGTCAGCAATAGGGGTGATCTAGTATGGACGAATTCATAGTGTTGCGTCAGCGAGGTCACATGACTAGTGTCACGCCACGTTTCTCGAACTATCCTGTACCTTGGTGAATGCCCTAGCATTTACTAGATATAGGGTAGTCTGGTATATGAAAGATGGTCACAACGTGACTGGACAATGTGTGTATAGACAGTGAGTTATTGATCTGCAGTCAGAGAGTATTATTGAGCACGTTCGTTGTTATAGCGTTTGTTTTAGCGCGATTGTTGAAATTAAGTGAATCGTAAAGTTATATTCGGAAAGAATAAACCAGTTTTATTAAGTAAGGACTTGTGTCGCTAAAGTTTCGTCAGAACGAAGTTACGGAAA